CTTTTCCCTTTTTTTCCCTCCCTTCCTTTTTTTTTTTTTTTTTTTTCATCTCTCTCTTCTCCCCCTTTTTGGCCGGGGGCGGGGCCCAATAAAGGCCGCCCCCCCCCAATGAACTTCGGGAAAGTTCCCGAAGAGGGCCCCCGGCGGGTTTGAAGAAGGAAGGATGAGGGTGCTGTCAAAGGCTGTCCCGCGTTCGGAGAAGGAGCGGCTGCCTGTTCGCAGCTACAGCTGTGAAGAGACGCCGTTCACAGAAGGAGGTGCCCGCGCTCCGAGGGGGGGGGGGGGCGGCTGCCCGAGAGGGGCCCTCCCCAGCCGAGGGTGGAGAAGGCAAGGATGCCGGCGGCGTGGCCGACCACGCGCAGCCGGAAGGCCGTGTGCGTGAGGTGGAACCTACGCTTCCAGAAGGGGGGGGGGGGAGTCAGCGAGGGGCGTCCTCCCTCCGGGAGAAGGGCCGTGTGCGCGAGAGCTGACAACATGATAAAGATGAGGAAGAAGTGCGAGTAGTAGAAGATCGCCAGCGAGCGCGGCACCGGCTCGAGCGACCCTGTCCAAACCTCGAGCCACTGCGCGACACAGCCGCAGACGAGCAGGGCCACCATCCTCTCCGCGCCGAGCCGGTACCCGAGCGCTGGGTCGGAGAGCTTGCTCAGAGAGTGCCTCGAGAGGAGCTGGACGACGCAGATGGGCGCCCAGATGAGAGAGATCGGCAGCAGCGTCGGCCAGACGAGCGGCGTGGCGAGGTGCTGGGCCAGGAAGAGGGCAAGCGCCGACTGCTGCAGCCAGTACGCATCGGCGTGCGTCCGGCTGCGCAGCTCCGCCTCGATGTCGTCGTCCGTGTAGCGCATGGTGAGCCTCTCGATGTGCACCTCGCTGCGTTGCGCTTCGAAGAAGGGGAGGCGCGCCTCCATCACCGCCATCCGCACCTCTGGCGAGAGCGGCGACGGTCCCAGCGGCACGTAGCCCCTCTCTCCGCCGACAGCAGCAAAGCCCCCACCAGCGCACGCGCTGCGAAGCGCACGGCCGACAGCGCGCGCAGAGGCGGCGGCGGCGGCGGCGGCGGCGGTGGCGGAGGAGGAGACGGCGGCGGAGGCGGAGGCGTGCGGCGGCGGTGGTGGGCATGCGAGGTGGTTGTGGTTGTGGTCGGGCGGGGAGGCGGGCGGGGAGAGGAGGTCGTGGAGAAACTCGATGTCGACGCTGCCGGGGGGGGGGGGGGGGAAAGTTTTTTTTTCAAGGGGGTGGGGGTGGCAAAAAGTTTATGTACGTGCTCCTTTAACTAGTATTTATATAGGGAGGGTTCCCCC